GTTTGATGATAACGCATAGTGTCGTTGGGTTCCATTGATCCTAGAAGTAACTAATAACACATTATTTAATATTCTTGTTTGGGTATCATGATCACGTCTTCCTGGCAACTTTGTATTTTTATTACTTGGTTTGTACTTTGAATATATTCGCTACATGAGCAATGTGAACGATCAGTATAAGTAAACGTGAACGGTCATTAAGTTTTAACATCTAAAGGAGCGCATGTTGTATCCTTCTATTTGTGGTTGGCACTTTGGGGCGCATTTCAACAAGCTTTTCACTGTTTTATAGCGCTTCCTTGCAGTGATTTCAGCTTTTTGAATTCTCAATACAGCCTTTCAAAGCAATAAGAGCGCTAGACAGTCCCACCACTTTATTAAAGCAATTTTATGATTGTTTCTTCCGATTGAATATTGTCATGATGCTACAATAATGAATAATCTTGAGGTTCTTCATCAACCGTTTAACTGCTAAAAAGATCAAAAAGTATAATAAAATCATTATCGTTTTATCCTGTGGTTTTGCATTTATCACACCTTATTGTCCACTAATATCGACTTAACCACTCGTGGTTTTATATAAAGTGAAAAATGGATGTAAAATATCATCAGTTGCATTGTGGTTGATTCAAATGCGCTCTAGAAACATGTGAATCATGAAAGAAGGAATGTACGTGTTGAAAATTATATATTGGTGAATCTCCCAAGGTTTCACATTCGACCCCCTTTGTAATTTATCTATAGTTTTATGTAAAGTGGTTTGGCACTTATGATGTGCATTATTTAAATAAGTGAAAATTACACATATCCTCTTATAGTTTCACCTATTATCAATATTTAAAATATCCCCTTCATCCCCGTATGATTTCATGCACGGTGGAAACTTGGCGGAAGATAGCCTATGTAGCGTTGTTAATTGATATACCAATAATGCCCTTATTTAAACACTAAATCGAACAAACGACTTAATTACCTTACATAATGATTATGCAGAGGAATGAAAAACTAGAAGGGATAAAGGGGACACTCATAGGGAATTAAGTGGATATTTCAATTCCACCACACATACTTTTGGAGAGCATCTGATTTAATTGTCATAGTCGATGGTGCATTCCATCCATTTTCAACTTTACGTAAATCCATTGAGAGGTTATATGGTTATCTTGAAACTTTAAAGAAGTCATATGACTTTATGTAAAACTACAAGGAAATTATATGTAATTTACTCTATGAACAAGAACATAACTGGGATTTTCAATTATGTCATTACTGAAGGTGCTTTCTATCTGGTTTCTACTTGACATGAATCCATTGGAGGTTAAGTAAACATTTTTGAAGAATGAAAGGATTAGGTAATAAAGCTTGATCAAGAACACCTAGGAAAATCGATTCTTGAAGGAGTGTTAAGAAGCACAATACACTTTACTCCCCATGTGGTATAGTTATTTTTCACATAATCCCCCTATAATTTTAAAAGTTATATATAATCCCCTCGAAATTTGGATTAAATTGTCAAAGTGCCGGAAATGATCATTCGTAACGGAACTTATAAAAATGTCTAAATTACCCTTGTTTAAAAACTAAAATGGCTGAAATGACCAAAATATATTAATATAATATGCATAACACTATGGTATTATGTTTTACCATATAACCCTCTTATGGATTAATGTTTTACCATATAATTCCCTTATGATTTTCAAAATATATACATAACTCCCTGTGATTAATAAATAATTTTCAACTTTATATAGGAGTATTTTTGACATTTTAGTTGACTCTATTCATCAAGACAGCAAACAATATGACATCGAATGATAAAATTATCATATCAGGAATAAATTGGGAAATCTATTCTACAATGTCTATTGATAGGTTGCAATTTATTCATTTATTTATTATTAATTTCCCCTATTACCTGACTTGATATGGATTAACTGCTGGATTCTACTCATTTTTCTTAATTTGCACTTATTTCAGGGAGTAGATCAAAACTACCACAATTACTGCTATTTTGACAGTCATCGGGAAAGAAATTAAATAGAAGGCTTGCAGGGGCATTTTTGGAAGAAGGGACACGAGCCCTTTTCGGTCATTTTGACTAAAGTGTTCTTCTGCCTGGAGCCGCCGCACGGAGCATGAGGATATAAGAGAAAATTGTGCAGAAGAAGGGGCGGCTAGCTTAGCTTAGAATTTCTTTATTCCCTTTTAAATTTTGGATTAGGAACTGGGGCGCATGGCAGGAGATCTGAGCTCTGGTTCTCGACTTTTCTTTGTAGTTTATTGTAGCTTTTGTCTCCACGCATGTCAGGAGATTGGAGGCTTTCTTCTTTGACTTTTCCACCTTGTACCTTTTGAGTGGCTTCGCTCTACGGATGCTAGGAACAATAAAGAGATTCAATTGTTACCTGTGACTTTCATTTGCTTTCTAATTGTTCGACGAATTGCGGCTTCCTGAAATGCAGACAATGGCCGTGACTTTTGCTAAAATTTCCAGTGGACTTAGTTCATCAAATATGAACTAATTTCCTCACTCTAGTCAGAAAACAACGGATGCTTTGGGTCGCCTAAAATTGTGAGATCGATTTAATTTAATCTTTTTCTTTTATTTATTGGTATTCGCATATTCCTTGATTGCTATGCTTATGGTTATTCAACTAATTGATTGTCTTGGATCCGGATAATTAATTGATTTGATAATCTATTGTCAATTAGGGCATTAAATCCGTAATTGTTTAATTGCCTTAAATTAGTGACAACTGGCACGATTAGATTTGTGTCAGCGGGATACGCGGGCTAATCTGAAATAATCCTGGTAGTGCGTTATTTGGTTAGAATAGGGCTCCTCTAATACGTAAGGCAATTGGAGAATTAAATCTTACGGGCGTACCTAGGATTATTTTCCTAATTAGAGCAGTGATTAACGGGCGTACCTTGATCACCGACACAGTAAGGGGGGGTTGACTGTCATCGCTTGTTTGACAGTTATAACCTATTTATCAGTAAATAATTGGAATTGGTTTTGCATCAATAATCAATTAGGTGAACCATTGCTGAAGTTATTTCTTGGCTAGATCTTTAATTAATATTATCTGGATTTTAGTGAATTGCCATTTGGTTTTTAGTTGTCTACTTTATTTTATTTTTAATTATTTTCTTGTGTTAATTGATTTAGACTTCTAATTATTGTTACTCTAAGTTCAGTGAATTGTTGTTTAATTTCTAGTTAGTTATTTATTTTTATTTCCTTATTTGAATTTATTTGATTGTCGTCGTCTCTACAAAATCACCCCTTGTGTTATCTTGGATTTCTTAAGAGACAAATATACCCAATCCCTGAGGATACGACCCTACTTGCCCTGTCTATAACTTCATAATTATTTGTGAAAAAATAACCATCCCATTCGGATATATCGGATCAAGCAAACTCTTCGAGAACAGGGTGAATCAAGTAACTCATTGCACACCTAAAGTTCCTGCTCCAGTACTTGGAATTGGGTTTTGGTCATTTTAACTGGCAATTAGGTTTAATTTTATTATTGTGCAGGCTTCGACACCCTGTCAATTTTTGGTGCCGTTGCCGGGGACTGGCGTTATTATTTGTTTCTTTTTAAATTCATTTTTGATATAAATTTCTGATATTTTTCTAGTGTATGCCTCGGTTTTCTCGAACAGGTGAATTAATTTTTGACCTTGAGGTAGAGAAGACTGCACGTAGAACAAGAAAAGAGACCAGACAACTCAGGGAGGAGCACTCGAGTGCTACATCTCAGAGACCTGAGCCAGAAGTTGAACCAACAGATTCATTTGGTGACACTTCGAGTGACTCGGAGCAAGAAGAAATCCCCATGACTAATGCACGAACATTAAGGGAGTTGGCTGCTCCTGATTTAAATCAGCAGCCTCTATGCATTACTTTCCCCACTTTAAATGATAACACTCCATTTGAGTTAAAATCTGGTCTGATTCATCTTTTACCCTCTTTTCATGGTTTACCAGGTGAAGAGCCGTATAAGCATCTGCATGAGTTTGATGTCGTGTGCAATAGTATGAAGCCCCCAGGCATTACAGAAGTGCAGATAAAAATGAGGGCATTCCCCTTTTCCTTGAATGATTCTGCAAAGGACTGGTTGTACTACCTGCCACCAGGTAGCATCACCACGTGGGACCAATTGAAGAAAAAATTTTTAGATAAATATTTTCCTGCGTCCAGGGTTGCAAGGCTAAGGAAAGAAATTTGCGAGATCAAGCATCATCCAGGGGAGTCACTCTATGAGTATTAGGAACGGTTCAAGAAGTTGTGCAGCAAGTGCCCCCAACACCAAATAAGTAAGCAGTTGCTCATACAGTATTTTTATGAGGGGCTCCTTTTCAGAGATAGGAGCATAATTGATGCTGCAAGTGGAGGGGCACTGGTGAACAAAACCCGTCGGGAAGCACGGGAGTTAATAGAGGGGATGACAGAGAATTCACAACAATTCGGTACGAGGGAGGATATCCCAATACGCAAGGTGAATGAGGTAGAGACATCCTCTATCCAGCAGCAGCTAACTGAGTTGACCTCGTTTGTTAGGCAACTGGCTGTACGAAATGCATCTCAGACCAAGGTGTGCGGGATTTGCACTGGTATGGGTCACTCTGCAGACATGTGTCCAATGATTCAGGAAGAAACTGCAGAACAGGTGAACATGGCTGGCCACGTGCCCACGCCAAGAAAGCAGTACGACCCTTATTCTAGCACCTACAATCCCGAGTGGAGAGATCATCCCAACCTCAGTTATGGAGGAAATAGGCAGCCCAACTTTGCACCGAACAGGCAGTCTAATTTCGTGCCAAATAAGCAACCAAGGTACCAGCAGCAATACCAACCCCGACCACCTCCGCCCCCAAGCTCTGGTTCATCTTTGGAGGAGATGATGAAACAAATGATGGCAACCATTATGCAAAATCAGCAAAGGACGGACTCCGAAATGTAGGACATAAGGAATCAAATAAGTCAAATGGCCACAACAATCAACCGTTTGGATTCCCAGAACCAAGGTAAATTGCCATCTCAGCCTGAATTAAATCCGAAGAACGTGAGTGTAATGACCCTAAGGAGCGGGAAGGAAATTCAAGGGCCTGAACCTGTGATCCCTAAGGATAAGGATGAGAAAAAGATCGAAAATGAGCTTGAGAGGGAGGACAGCAATGGTGCAGGTCAAAAGGTACTTCCAGACCCAGTAATTACAGTTAAAACTAATCCGCTTTCTTTTCCTAGCAGGTTAGAAAAATCGAAAAATCAGGATAAGGAGAAGGAGATCTTGGAGGTGTTTCGTAAGGTAGAGATAAATATCCCCCTCTTAGACGCAATCAAACAGGTACCAAAATATGTCAAGTTCCTAAGAGACCTGTGTGTCAACCGAAGGCGGTTAAGGGGAGATGAAAGGGTCATTGTTGGGGAGAATGTGTCAGCGGTCCTGTTTACCCAAGTGCGGGGACCCAGGTATGTTTACTATCCCCTATAGGATAGGCAACACTGTGATTAGAAGAACCATGTTGGATCTGGGAGTATCAATTAATGTCATGCCTAAATCTATCTATGCTTCTCTAAAACTAGGTCCATTAAAAGAAACTGGGATAATTATTCAATTAACTGACCGAACCAATGCATATCCTGATGGGTTGGTTGAAGATGTGTTGGTAAAAGTTAATGATTTGGTGTTTCCAACTGATTTTTATGTACTTGATATGGATGATGATCACTCACCCGATCCCTCACCTTTATTATTACGTAGACCCTTTATGAGCACAGCACAAACAAAAATTGATGTTAATAAGGGTACCTTATCCATGGAATTTGATGGAGAAATTGTGCACTTTAATATTTTTGATACTATGAAATATCCCTCAAACTCCAACTTTAGCTCAATTTTCTCTGTGAGTGCTATTGACCCTGCGGTGCAGGAAGTATTTGAAACTGTTGGCAGGGATGAGTTGGAGGTGGTTTTGACCAAGCACCTCGAGTTGGAGACAGCTCTTGAGGTGGAGTGGAGTGAAGATTTAAAATGCACGATAGGAGCATTACACTCATTGCCAACCTCCACAAAAAGGTACGAAGTTTCACCTATGTTCATTCCCGAACCTCACCAGAGGGTATTGCCATCGGTGGTGCAGGCGCCTATTTTGGAGTTGAAACCCTTACCAGAGCATCTGAAGTATGCATATCTGGATGACAACGAGACACTCCCGGTGATTATCTCATCGGCACTGTCAAAAATCCAGGAGGAGAAACTGATTCGGGTCCTTAGAGAGTATAAAGAGGCGATAGGTTGGACAATCGTAGACATTAAGGGGATCAGTCCAGCCATCTGTATGCACCGGATTAGACTGGAAGAGGATGCTAAACCTGTTCGGCAGGCTCAAAGGAGGCTCAATCCCCTTATGATGGAAGTGGTGAAGAAAGAAATTTTGAAATTACTATATGTGGGGATTATTTTTGCAATATCAGATAGTCCTTGGGTGAGCCCGGTCCAGATAGTCCCGAAGAAGGCAGGAGTGACGGTGGAAGCCAACCAAACGGGTGAACTCGTGCCAGTGCGCAAATCCACTGGATGGAGGCAGTGTATTGACTATCGTAGGCTAAATGCCGTCACAAAAAAAGGACCATTTTCCTCTCCCTTTCATTGACCAAATGGTTGAACGATTGGCTTGTAGAGCTTATTATTGCTTTTTGGATGGATTTTCAGGATATTTTCAGATAGCGATTGCACCAGAGGATCAAGAGAAGACAACCTTCACGTGCCCGTTCGGGACCTTTGTTTATAGACGAATGCCATTCGGATTGTGCAATGCACCTGCAACATTCCAGAGGTGTATGGTAAGTATTTTTTCTGAATATGTGGAGAAAATAATTGAAGTTTTCATGGATGATTTCAGTGTGTATGGTGATAGTTTTGATACATATCTAGATAATCTGAAATTGATCCTGATAAGGTGTATAGAGACTAATCTTGTGCTCAATTGAGAAAAATGTCATTTTATGGTTGACCACGGGATAGTCTTAGATCATGTTGTGTCGTCTAAGGGTATTGAAGTTGACAGGGCGAAAATAGATATTATATCTGCTTTGCCTTACCCCGCGAGTGTGCGGGATGTACGTTCTTTTCTTGGACATGCAGGTTTCTATCGAAGGTTCATCAAGAATTTTTCAAAAATTGGGGCCCCGTTGTTCCAACTCTTACAAAAGGAGGTGACCTTCGAATTCAATGACAAATGTGAGAAAGCCTTCGTCAAATTGAAAGAGTTGTTGACCTCACCCCCAATCATCCAGCCCCCTGACTGGAGTCTACCATTTGAGATCATGTGCGATGCCAGTGATCATGCTGTAGGGGCTGTGCTGGGGCAAAGAATGGGAAAGGCAGCCCATGTCATCTACTATGCGTCCCGAGCATTGAACGGAGCTCAACTGAATTACTCCACTACTGAGAAGGAGCTTCTAGCAGTAATTTTTGCTTTAGAAAAATTCAGGTTATATTTGTTAGGTGCTAAAGTAATTGTATTTTCTGATCATGCAGCATTAAGGTACCTAATGACCAAGAAGGATGCCAAACCGAGGCTCATCAGGTGGATATTGCTACTGCAGGAATTTGACTTAGAGATGAGGGATAAAAAAGGCTCAGAGAATCTAGTAACTGACCATTTGAGTCACATACCAGTTGGGGAGGAGAGCGAGCCGTTGAAAAATGCATTCCCTGAAGAGCATTTATTTTCCTTAAATTCTCAATTGCCTTGGTATGCTGATTTAGTCAATTATCTAGTAACGGGTAATTTTCCTGCAGGTTAGCCAAAATCGAAGAGGGATAAATTGAAGAGCGACGCCAAGTACTTCATTTGGGATGACCTGTACCTGTGGAAGAGATGTGCAGATCAAGTGATACGGAGATGTGAAAGTGAAGTGGAATTTCAATCGATTTTAGCTTTTTGTCATACTTTTGCATGTGGAGGTCATTTTGGACCCAAGAGAACTGCTCATAAGGTTTTAGAAAGTGAATTTTATTGGCCTTTATTGTTTAAGGATGCCTATGTGTTCTGTAAGTCATGTGATCGCTGTCAAAGGGTAGGTAATATAGCCCGTAGAGATCATATGCCCCAAGTCCCGTTGATTTTTGTTGAAATTTTTTATGTTTGGGGTATAGATTTCATGGGGTCTTTTCCTACTTCCTTTGGTTTTATATATATTTTGCTGGCAGTTGATTATGTGTCTAAATGGGTGGAGGCTAAGACCACTAGGACTAATGACTCGAAAGTAGTTGCAGATTTTATCAGGTCTAATATTTTTGTGCGATTTGGAATGCCAAGAGCTATTGTCAGTGATAGGGAAATGCACTTCTGCAACAAAATCATAGCTGCGTTGTTTCGCAAGTATGGTGTACTCCACAGGGTCTCAAAGTCGTACCACCCTCAGACCAATGGTCAAGCAGAGGTATCGAACCGGGAAATCAAATCCATCTTGGAAAAAATGGTGCGCCCCGATAGGAAAGATTGGAGTCAACGGTTGGAAGATGCACTCTGGGCCTATCGGACGACGTACAAGACTCCAATAGGGATGTCGCCGTACAGGTTGGTATTTGGGAAGCCATGTCACCTTCCAGTGGAATTCGAGCACAAAGCTTTTTGGGCGATTAGGCAATGCAACATGAACTTAGAGGAGGCCGGTGCCCAACGAAAGTTGAAATTGCAAGAATTGGAGGAGATTCGGAACGAAACCTACGAAAATGCATTAATTTATAAGGAGAGAAGCCGGACATTTCATGATCAACAAATTTCAAGAAAAACCTTTGAAGTTAGTCAGAAGGTCCTCCTGTACCAATCTAGGCTCAAGCTATTCCCAGGTAAGTTACGTTCCCGTTGGATTGGACCTTTCACTGTGACTCACGTTTTTCCCTATGGTGCAGTTGAAATCCAGAGTGCTAAATCAGACAATAAGTTTGTGGTGAATGGACACCGTCTCAAACATTATTACGAAAGTTTTTCAAGTGGAGAAGTGGAGACAATAAGTCTAGACGCACCACCGTGTCCTAATCAGTGACACTTTACCATGTCTAGCCAAAGACATCAAAGAAAGGCGCTTATTGGGAGGTAACCCAATCTCTTTTAATTGTTTGTTTGATTTTGTGCGATAGTTAAATAGGTTTTCCTTGAATTGGACTGATTTTGGGTTTCAATTTTCATTTTTGCTGATTTGTAGGTGTTCGTCTGTCATGACGCGCCTGCGTGATAACGTATGGAGCGCTCACGGTCAGAATCGTTAGAAAGGGTTTCGATCCTTATGACGCGCCCGCGTCATGACGCATGGAGAACTCACGATCAGAATCGACAGAAGGGGTTCCTACCCTCTTGACGTGCCCACGTCACGTACGCGGGAACGGTAAGGATTCAAAAAAAAAAAAAAGAAGAGATTTTACAAAACAAAAAAAAAAACACAAAAAAAGAAATAATAAGAATAAAATTTTCTCACCGTAGCTCAAATAGATTTTTTTTTTTTAAATTCGCTTTTTCTTTCTTTCTTTCTTGCTAGAACCACTTCCCCTCGCGTCTCTCTCTCTGGCTCTCCTTTTCCCCAGCTCCGCCGATCCGTCAAACAGGCTTGGAATCTGCGTGGCTCACATCTGTCGCTTCAATTAGTGCTTTAATTCAAGTAAGTTGTTGGAAATTGTCTGGATTTCGATAAACCTGGATCTCTGTGGCGAAGTTGGACTATTTCTGTGGTTGTGGGTTGCCTGGGGTGGTATTTGTGCCAGTTGAGCTATTCGTCACAATTGGGCAAATTTATTTCCATTGTTTGGGGTGTTCTGTCCATCGATTCCAGTTCTGCTTTCACAGGGGTCTATTTTAATTGCCTGTTGATTTAAATCATCGATGTGGAAAGAGCTTTATCTGTGATTTTGGGTCTATTTATTTGTGCGAGTCTCTGCCTCCTGTCCGGATTGATTTGCTCCCCGGATTGATTGTTAACTTCAGTGAACTGAGTTTCCACCTAAGGCTCCTTTACTTGCTTTGTTCCTTGGAATTTTAATCCTCTGTTGCTTTTCTTTAGAGGTTTGGAATCTTTCTGGTGCCTGGGTTAATACTTGGGGCTACGGCTTTACTACTGCTTTGCTTTGCTGTAGCATTTGGTGAAATTCCTGGGGACATTTGTTGAAATCTTAGTTGGCTCGCGTTTACTTTTGCCTGTGAGTTGGGGTTCTTATTACTTTTTGTTGGACATTGCATATTTTATTTTGCTGGTGGTTGGATATATATTTGGGGGTGATTGTTTTGCTGGTATTCTATCTTTGCTGCTTGCTCAGTGTGCGGGCAACTCTATATTTGGGCCCTGTGATCGTTGGAATCTATATATCTTGTTGGGTGAGTTGACTGTGGCAGCAATGGTGAGACCCAAGTCCTCCTCTAGGTCTAGGGCCTCTCAGTCTCAACCCCCTCCACAAGCCTCTATTCCTGTAAACTCACCTACCAACCTACCCTCCTCTTCTAGTGCTCGAACCCGTTTGGGTAGAGGTAGGGGTGCTCAGGTAGATACCCCGGCTCACTTTGGGAGGCACTTGACCTTCACCAGACCCGCTGATCAGCAGAGATACGCTAAGGTCTGTGAGAGGCGTATTATACCCTGCAAATCTTGTCAGAAAATCACTATGACTGCCTTGGGTATACGGGAGGAGGTCGATCAGATGTTTACCGCCATTGGGTGGCGCCCGTATCTTGATATCTCCTGCCCTGCTTTTGTTGAGCTGATTCGGGAGTTTTACTCCACCTTTGAGTTCGAGTTGCCTACGAGATACACCGTTGACACATCGAATGTCATTCATTTCCGTCTAATGGGTAGGGAGTTCAATTTCTCCATTACCCAGTTCAATCTGGCATTTGGATTTATCACGAGAGAGTATGCTGAAACTAGGGAGTATGCGGAGAGTGCCTGTGATTACATAGAGCCATTTCTCTCCCACTACCATGATGTGTGGGAGGAAATGCCAGTCGATCGGCACCGCTACGACCCTTCTAGGTCTAGGAGCTCCTTTCTTAAGGATCCTAGTGCCCGATACGTTCAGCGATTCTTAGCCTACAGCTACTCAGGGCGCAAGGACAGCTCCGGTATACTCTCTCGACCTGAGTTTTTCTTCCTCTGGAGTATGAAGAACAATATCAAGGTCAACTTGGGGTGTTGGTTGGCGGCTCAGTTCAAGACTGTTTTGACCAAGAAGAACAAACCTCTGATTCTTGGGTCCTACATCACCCACTTGGCGACGCAGTTGGGAGTTCTTAATCTGGAGGACCACGACTTACATTTGACTTTCGAGATGGAGCTCCTAGACGTGGACTGCTTAGAGAAAATGGGAGTCGTCGAGCGCCTGCCCAATGGTTTCCACCAGTTTACCCCTCCGGGACCAGTTCGAGCTCCGGGTACGCGGCCTTCGACACAGGCGGGGCCCTCTTCATTCCCTGGGTCGGCCGAGGACACTGCTGGACCGTCTGCCTCCGCCCCACCACCTCCACCACCTGGGGCTCCTGAATGGCAACAACTCCGGGAGCAGGTTCAGAATTTAGAGGCTCGGATGCTCAACGTTGACCTCAATGTAGCCGGCATAGCGCAGAATTTGGCGCAATTTTTGCATCATGCGGGTTTTCCTCCTCCATTTCCGCCTCGCCCACCACTTTGACCGGACTTCAGGGAAGTTTTGCTGTCCTCTCTCCCACTTTTGTTGCTTATTTGTCATATTGAGGACAATGTGTCCTATAGGTGTGGGGGGGGTTTGCAATGAGGTGCCAGTGTTTTAGTTTTTAGTAATTTTTAGTTTTTAGGTGCTTCCTTAACTTTTAGTTTGTTCTTTGTTTATTTCCATTCAGTCATTTCCTTTCTTTCTAGTGATGAGCTGTCATGTGAATGCCAAAATTTGCTGGATTATTGCCTCTAATGCTACTTTTGCCAAGTTTTTTTTAAAAAAATAAATGTATATCGAGTTAATGTGGTTGGGTCCAAGACATCTCCTTGGTGAATATCGGACTGCTTGACTCTCTTGATTTCTTTGTTAACTTTTCTAAGTATAGGGAATGACTGTTGGCGTTTTAATGTGAACTGGTCCAATATTGACTCCAGTTCTCCATGTTTGGCAATAATGAGGCGAGCTGCTCCTATGCTTGGTTGTTAGTGTTGTTATTTCGCGTTTTTGCGTTGTTTGGCTGTGAATAAGCTTGACTGTACTCCGCTATTAGTTACTACTGAGTAACCGGGGATCTGCACCTAAAAGTGTCGATTCTCGCGTCAAAAAGTAGTACTTTTTATGAGTATGTGGTCGTATAGTGGTAGGAGTTGAGTAACCGGGCTCCTTCATCTAAAAATGTTGGAGTTCGCGTCAAAAGGCTCCAATGGCTAGAGACTAAGTCGTTTCGTGTTATTGTTATCAATTGTTACAAAAAAAAAAAAAAACAGAAAAGTGCAGGTTTGTAGTATGTTAGAGGTCAGCTTGTTGATTTATGGACTGAATATGGAGGCTTTGGTTAATATTTGGATTGTTTGCTGATAAATGTTATGCGCCATTCCTTTTTCTTAAATTAGCTAATTTGGAAATTGAAGGAGTTTGTAGTTTAAAAGCTAACCGGGGTGATGTTCTTTGGAGTTTTATCACTGATGCTTGATTTATGATTTTCTTGGTGTCTTGGCAATTTGATAGAAAGAGCAATGGCCATTATCAAATTTAGGTATCTGTTTACTATTCTTATGCTTGAGGACAAGCATGGTTTAGGTGTGGGGGGAATTGATAGGTTGCAATTTATTCATTTATTTTATTA